AGGCAACTTAATATATCCAACTCATTATTATGTAATCCCAAAGACTGGTAGGAATCTTTTTTAGCAATCTAACATCTATTAGCTACACAGTTTCAATCATTTCAAAATGCTTTAAGATTAAATATATACTACACACACACACACACACACACACATACCGCCCCTCCCCTAAATAGTGAAACCCTATTGAAAAAACTAAAGATACTATTTGCTAGCCTGGTGAGACATACCTTACTATACTCCCAGCACTACTGAGACTAAGGAAGGAGAACCTAGAGTTTGCAGTAAGCCTGAACTATATAGGACACTATCTCAAAATAAAACAAAACAAGGACTAAATACACGGTGTCACGTCATGCAACTACTTTACTTGTAATTGCCCCATTCTTCCATTTTTGAATTCTACAACCCAACTTACCGAAGTTTTGATTCTTAGATCCTTTGGAGGGAGTTTTAATGTCTTTTTCCAGTCATCACCAGGTCTAGAGAGAACACAGCAAACAAAGTTATCACAATTCATAGCTTCCTCCTTAATACAAAGAAACGTCTCAATAGTACTACCCCTCTAAAAAAGCACAGTAAGTATAATACGCTCTACATCATTAACAAGAAGGAGGGACACTCCTGTACTTAATTAACAATAGTGTTAACTTCAGGGAACATGTTCTTTGGGAAATCATCTAAGGGGATAAATTTAAGAACAGAAGGGCTGCCAGCATCCATCCTCCTCATCCTAAGATTAGAAGTACAAGTGTTTGTCAAAACACATTTTATTTGACCTACTAGTATTTAACTTTTTTTTTTTTAAATTAACTACAAACATTTAACACCTAGATTTCATATAAAGGCTCAGTTTCTGGATCTTGAAAGACTGCCAAATCCACAACAATTCAGGGAAGCACACTTTGGCAATAATGTTTCAAGTTCTTGTATGGTAACAGTTCAGTAGAACTTAGTAACTACAGCCTTTTCTTTCTTCTTTTTTTTAATGCTAAGAAATTAAACCCAGGCCCTTGAAAAAGCCAGGTAGTTGCCAAAGGGCTACCTAGTAACCAGAACTTAAAATCACTAAGTGATGCTTGTAAACAGTAAGCACCTTCTAACTTGGCACAGTACCCTACAGTCATCCAAGCCTCTGACTTCTGGTAACTACCCAGGAGAAGGAGGCAGAAAGACCACCCGAGCCATGGAAGTTCCAGGCTAGTCTGAACAACACAAAGACCTCGACTTAAAATACAAAAGCACACACAGTCTTGACGTTTCTAACAGAGGTTGCCTTAATTTTATTCTTTATTCCTTCTGTGATGGCTGCACCAATTATTCCCTCAATCCTCTACGCTCTCACATACAAACTGTGTCTACCAAGCTTATCAGTAATGTATACAATGATGTATGATGACACCCACCAGGTGATTCCAGCACCCAGGAGGTGAAGTAGGAGGTTTAGGAGTTCAAGATTACCCCTGGCTACATAGGTACTTGGAGGCCAGTCTGAGCTACACGAAGTGCTGTCTCAAAAAAAAAAAAAAAAAAAAAAAGGCAAATAAGTAATTTATGTAAAATAGTACTAACAAAAATAAGACCTGGAGACACTTGAAACTGTCCCCAGAGCACCCCAAAGGTTGATTTGTCTAATGATAGAGCTTGCATTAAAAGCAAAGAGCCTAACACAGATACATTTCTTTTTTTTTTAAATCTAAATAAAAACTTGTATCTATATAGCCCAGGCTAGCCTTGAACTCATGAACCTCTCTCTGCAGACACCAATGAACACTAGATAACCACCAAGTAAAACAGCTTGCCACACAAATTCAACAATGCATAATATAAAAAATATAATGCAAAAACTGGCTCATAGGAGCTGGAGAGATGGCTCAGAGGTTAAGAGCACTGGCTGCTATTCCAGAGGACCTGAGTTCAATTCCCAGCAACCACATGGCAGCTCACAACCATCTGTAATGAGATCTGGTGCCCTCTTCCTGGCATGTGGGCATACATGCCAACAGCATATTATATGCATAATAAATAAATCTTTAAAAAAAAACTGGCTCACAAATTATACTCAAATATATCTTAAAAGTGAGAAATCAAAGTGAGCAAACAGGTGAGGGAGGTAAGTACTAAAGAGTTCTGAAACAGCTGACAAAACCCAGAACTCTTCAAAGAGATGACACACTTAGAAAATCCCAGAGGAAAAATTGTTACCCCAAATCAAAAATTTTAAGTGAACAATACTTTCATACTGAAGTGGACATCTGCTCTTAGGAACTGAAAGGAGCCTCAATTTTGCTTGCCTATTTGTGTTAAAATAAACTACAATTTATAAAATATTCCCATTTCTATAGTTGTTAAAACCAATTCCACTGTGCCACTCATCCCAGCAACCAGGAGGCACAGGCAGGCAGATCTCCAAGTTCCAGGCCAGCAGGTTACATAGTGTGGTACTGTATCAAAACAACAAAACAGTGGGAATTCTTACAGACCAGCAGTGACTCTCATAGCAATAATCTAAATATTATAGTAGCCAGGGAAGACTACTTTTCCCTAAAAGACTCAGATTACAAAAACCAAAATACAGTTCAAACTCAGGTGGTGACACACATCTATAATCACAGCATTCAATCAGAGCAGGGGTACAAAGACATCATCTCAAAAACAAAACAAACAGGGGCTGGAGAGATGGCCCAGTGGTTAAGAGCACTGCCTGCTCTTCCAAAGGTTCTGAGTTCAATTCCCAGCAACCACGTGGTGGCTCACAACCATCTGTAATGCGGTCTGGTGACCTCTTCTGGCCTGTAGGTATACACACAGACAGAATATTATACAATAGTATACACATAAAAAATAAACATTTAAAAAAAAATAACACACAAACAAGTCAATAAACCAAGTATCATATATAAAGATCTGTAGATGTTAAACCATTTTATGTATGTCTATATTTTTAACAGAAGCCCAACTTCCATTGAATGAAGTTTTACATGAAGGAATCCTTCCTTATAAGTCCATTTTTAGAATGCCAGTTCCTTCGTCTCTCCCCCACCCCCCCAAGACAAAGGGTCTCTGTGTAGTCCTGGCTGTCCCTGAACTCACTTTGTAGACCAGTGAGTTGGTCTGTAGCTCACAGAACTCCATCTGCCTCTGCCTCCCAAGTGTTGGGATTGAAGGCGTGCATTACCATTACCATCACCATCCAGTTAGCCTCTGTCTTTAAAAAATGAAATAAGTCTGAATCTTTAAATCTGCTTTTTCAGGGGGCTGGTTAAGAGCACTGGCCTACGTTAAATTTCCCAGCACCCACCAGGAGGCTCACCACCACTGGCAACTCCAGTTTCAGTGGATCCAACCCACTTTTTTAGCCTTTATGGACACCAGGCAGGCACACAGCATGGAGACATACATGCAGGCGAATGCCCATGCACATAAAATTTCAAAAAATTTTTTGTTATTGCAAATAAATTTTATTTTTCAAACTTTCAAACAGCCTTTACCTGTTGTATAAACTAGGGCAAACTGCTGTGGTAACATTAGAAAGCCCCCCTCACCTAAAAAGAAGAGTCGGGTGTGGCGCCTCACACCTGTAACCCTAGCACTTGGGAGACTCAAACAGGAAGACTGCCCAGGTCAGCCTGGGCTACAGAGTAAACCTAGCTCAAAAAACAGACAGAATAGGATCATTTTATTCACATTTATACAAACTGTACATTTATTTAACATAGCAATTTATAGATGCTTACGTTCATCACTTGCTGAGTTAATTATGGCAGAAATACATTATTCTACTACAAATACCTACAGACCATGACTAAGTCATCTGCAATCAAAATGGTTAATATTACGTAGTCAAAAAAAAAAAATAAACAAACTGTGGCCTACAAGTTTTTCTTCTAACACTTACTTAATAGTGGCGGTCATGCTCTGTGCTTGCTGTTGAGTGCCGTTATTGATTGTGTTGGTGTTTTTCAACTGGTTCATCTGTTGCTGTGTCTGTGTGCCCCCTCCTCCAGGGCCACCACTGGGCTTCACAGGGCCCCTCAGCTGACCATTCTGACTGGACAGACCCATTATAACAGGGTTCTCTGTTCTGGCCGTGCTCATGCTTTGTTAACTGCAAAGGTGTCTCTTTCAAACTTCAAAATTTTTGAAAGTCAGTAGAGAAACTGTAATAACAGTTTATGAGGCTCTCCAAAATGAAGAGATAAATAAGTCTTGCTCAATATATGAGTCCTTTATTGCAATTCAGGCAAGCACCTGTAAGTCTCTGAACGGCAGGCAGCAGTAGTTAACTTGCTCTCATGCACCGAATCAACTCTATTTTTTAAGCCCTCTAACAAGCTTGAAGTATATCTGAATTCACTCACTTCAATCTGAAACAAAGAAAAAAATTTAGTCAGCAAACAGCAAAGGCAGGGTGTAAAGCCGTTCCCTTCTAAAGAACTCCTTTGCAATGTTTATCTTTTAAAGGATGACTAACAGCCACACTCAGGCCAAATCACTAGTTGACATAGCAAAGACTGAGTGAGGCGCTGCCTTCAAACCCCAATCTACAAGGACTCCAACCTCACATTCAAATTTTCAAGATCAAAGTAAGCTAGAGAAAATGAGGCAGAAAGACACTATTGACAGAATTCAAGTTCACCGTCAAATAACAATCTGTTCTTCAATCTCCTGATGAATTCTCTCCAAGTCCTACAACCTCCAAAAACCATTACATTAATTGCATTAAGACTTGAAATATCACTCGATTTACTTAATGTAAATCTAGATTTAAACAAAGCAAGACAATTCACTTACATTTTTCTATTTCTGACAGCAGCCAAGAGATTTTAAATGAGAAAAACTGCTCCAAATACTACAAAAAGGTTATCAGTTTCGACTACAGAAGGTTTTTTTTTTTAATTGAGCTTTTGTTCTTTCCAAATAAATGAAGCGGTCAAAAGATCTGTATGGAGCAGTCTACATGTAAGAAATCTTTTGCTTGAAAAATTCCAAGACCCCTCTAACTACCAAACCAAAACACCTCAATACAAAAAACTGACTGTTGCCTTTCAGTAAGGTTCTTCAGAACAGTATATCCTAATTTAAAATAACATTGTTTTTAAGAAAATGAAATTTTCTATAGTTAAGGGAGGGAAAAGTTTGTTTAACCAAAGGGTTAAACAAAATTGAAGCTTTAATAAAATTCTCCCAAATCACCCAGAGTATCAAGTCTAATTAACAGTTATTTTTAAGAAAAAATTGCAACCTCTATTTGTTCCTCAAATAGGATTCTCAAAATTTAGTAAATAAAAAATTGCCAAGGACCAAAACATAAGCCCAACTCCTTTGGTTTATCTTTAACCCCCTTATGTTCCACCCTCTCGCAAAAGAAGAAAAAAGAAAAAAAGCCTAGCTTAATCTGTGCTATTTTTTCCCATGCACCAATGTATCCCAAACCCAAAATTCTAAAGTCAAAAGAGATCTCAAGTTTTGTTAGCAAACACTATGTTTGTTGAAACAAAAAAAACTTTATACATCGACTTGCTCACAAATGCTGCTTATCACACGAAGTTGTTTATCTGTTTTGGCAACAGCTATTTTTCGTACTGACAGGTCTGTATTATGATCAACAGTAGCACGTACGTCCAACAGGAAGGGTTACCTGCTTGCAAAGCACTAAGAGGATGAATATTAAGCGACCATCATTACTGTCAATCAAACACAGTAAGACCTCCTATTGCCTTAAATCCAAAGTGAGCCTCCGATAGCTGCTCCCTTCTTAAACTGACACCTGCACTGCAGTTTTACGTCTCAGAGGAGAAAATATTCTTCCTACCCCTCCCCAGTTTAGATTTGCAAGTTAGATTCCAACATTAAAAAAAAGGAAGAAGGAAAAGAAGGAAGGAAAGAAGAGAGAGAGAGAGAGAGAGAGAGAGAGAGAGAGAGAGAGAGAGAGAGAGAGAACAACCCCACGAAGGAACGTAGACTTAGTTGGGAGGAGCCCCTGGCGGAGTTAATTACAGCACTTCCCAGACCGCGGTTAGCAATTGACAGTTTCACACCCAAGACGGTACAGTCAGCTCCAACAAGGGCTTTTGTTTGCAAATGCAGCGCAATTTCTCTAAGCCTCAGCAGGAAGTTGGAGTGGGGTTATTCTGAAGGAAAAGGGCGCTGTGGAAAAGGCAAGAGCCAAGCCAAGGACTGAGTCCGGTAACCGTAGGGCACTGATCCCTCGCTCCCTCCCCCAACCACACTCCCTTCAGACCCAGCTCCCTCGGATCCAAACGCCAAAGGGTTTGCTGCCCTGCAATCCTAGCTGCGCCACAAGAGCCGCAACCAGCTCCGCGAGTAGGAAACAATAGGGACTCCCCAAGGAAAGCACGGGAGAGAACCCCCAAATTGGAAAGCCTCTCCTTTCCGAGCCGCGGAGTCTCCCCCAAGCCCCCGGTACCCCGCGACCTGCAAGGCCTACTTGCACCCGAGCAGCTGCGGGTCCTCTCCTGGCCCCGGCTCCGGACCGCACAGCCCTGCCGCCCCGCACAGGGCCGCCGAGTCCCGGCCGCCGCGCCGTCCCCGCTCCCGGCTGCCCCGAGCACTCCGCCGCTCCTCCTCCAGACCCCGCCGCGCACCGCATTCCTCGGTTCCACTCCTCTCCGCCTCCCCCGCTCCACTCAGCGGCCGCCCGCCCGTCCTCCCCACACCCCCCGGCCGGGCCTGGGCCTCGGGCCTCCGCCCCAAGCGCGCCCCGTCGCACGCCCGAGGGGGCTCCCCCGCGACCTTCACGGCCCTGCCGACCCCGACCACGCCGCCTCACCCCCCACGTCCCGCGGCTCGGGCTCGAGTCCTACCGCCGAGGCCACTCCCGCTCCGCACCCTCGGTCCTTTATTGTTGACTCGAAGCTCCCAAAATGGCGGCGGCTCCTTCCTCTTCGGAAACCTCCGCCCGCCCCCACCCGGCCCCTCGCCGCTACGCCCGCCGCCCCGCCCCCGCCGCGCCGCCCGCGCCGCCGCCGCCACCTCCCTGCGCTACCTCGGCCGCGGCCCGGTGTGTGGGCGCCCCCGAAGTCGCCTCCGGGCTGCGCTGACTCCGCTCCTCTGCCCCCTCCCTCGCCCGCCGTCGTCGCCGCCGCCTCCCACCCTCTTCCTCAGCCTCTCCGCATGGCGGCGCACGGCGGCTCCTCCTCCACACAAGATGGCGAGAGCTCGGCCGCCGCAGCCGCCGCGGCGGCGTCGCGGCTTCCTGGGCGCGGCGGCCGAGCCCGTTCCCTGACCCGACCGAGCTCGGGGAAATGTGGGGCTGCTTTCCGGGAATGACGGACGGAGGGACGGGAGGGAGGGCTTGCCTGCGGCGCGGAGGACACCCAGCTGGGACGCGAACGGTGGCCGGGGACAGTCGCCCTTGCCTCCGTCCCTCCGAAGCTGGCTGGCGGGCCGGGGCCGGCGGGGAGGGCTGCTGGCTGCTGAGCAAGGACGCGCTCGCTCGGAGGGCAGCCGGCGCGGGCTCGGCGCCGGGAAGCTGACCTGGGATGGCCGGGAGGCTGTCGCGAGGCCGGGGCGCACCTCCACCCGGGGACGCGCGTAAGTGGGGCCGGCCGGGCCCACGCTGCTGGGGAGCCCGCTCCCGGGGAAAGCGAGAGCCGGGAGCGCGCCCTCGGTCGTGGGTTACCGAGCCCAGAGTGCAGGCGAGGTCACCCTTTCTTCCTGCCCGGAGTGACACTCTTCTAGAAAGAAGGGCGGACCGCCTCTACGAGCAAGGACTCACTTATGGAAATGGGAAACCAGTAGATTCTCCCGTCTGGCCCTCACTGCAGATACTTGTGCGTTTGTTTCTGGATTTTCAGATCCTAGTGTCTTACCCTTAATAGAAAAAGCCGTCTTGTTCCAAGTAAAGTAAACATTTGGAGATAGAATCGAGCTGGGCCAAAGGGAAAGTGAAAACCTGGGTCTCACGCAGCTGGGAGGCGGAAATAAATGGCCAAACCATTTGTGACAGTATGTCTCCGTCCCGGAACACCAACTTAAAGGGCACTGGACAGTCAATACTTAGTCACTGACTGGTAGCTCCCTTTTTTTTCTCTTTCTTTCTTTCTTTCTTTCTTTCTTTTTTTTTTTTTTTTTTTTTTTTTTTGCCGCGGCTTCTAACTTGAGACCAATCAGAGAAAGCCAAATCTGTTCTCTAAACCAATGACTCCCTGCTTCTAGCCCTCCTCCCGCTTTCTTTCCAACAGCATCCAATGAGAATAAGCCTGAAGCCTTTCTTCCCTCCCACCCCAATTTTCTTTTACTTACAGTAGCGCTTATCTTTTTTCCACCCTTAAGGGCTCAGGTCTTTACCAAACGTCGGTGAATGCTTACTTGTCCCCATTGCCATAGCAAGCCCCGAACAAATAACAGCCTGTTGTCTTTTGATTTAGTTCCATAAAGCAAAGACTGCCGCTTGTTGGCTTAAGACAAATTGTTGCAACGCACCTCCGCCTAGCCTGGAACTCATGACTGGGATTTACAAGTGTGTGCCACCGCACTAAGTACTTATCATCATCATTACTACCAAATTTTACTTTTACTTTTTGCAATTCTGAGTTTAAAGCATGACATCTCCCACCCAGATTTTAAAATAAACTACTCATACAAGGGAATAGGCTGGCACCTTATGCTCACCGTGGAGAGAAGCTAAGTGTGCTCAATGATTTCTTGAGAAGAGGTATGAGGCCTTGTTTATCCCTTTCTGTTATTGGTTTTTTTTTTTTTTTTTTTTGGATCTTAGTTTTTCAAGACAGGGTTTTCCTATGTAGCCCTGGCGCTCCTGAAACACTGTAGACCAGGCAGGCTCAGACTCAGAGATCTGGCTGCCTCTGCCTCCTGCCTCCCTGAGTGCTGAGTGAGGTTAAAGGCCTGCCCCAACACTGCCTGGCCTCAAGTTGTTTTTTATTTGTTTGTTTGTTTTTGTTTTGTTTCTTTCGAGACAGCTTTGGAGCCTGTCCTGGAACTAGCTCTTGTAGACCAGGCTGGCCTGGAACTCACAGAGATCCACTTGCCTCTGCCTCTGGAGTGCTGGGATTAAAGGTGTATGCCACCACCTCCCGACCTTCAAATTATTTTTATTTCTTCCTTTTAAAATGTATCTTAGGGCTGGAGAGCTACCCAAAATATAAAATGTATTTTATTTGATGTGTATGTTTTGCCTAGGTGTTCTGTCTGTGCACCATATGCGTGCAGGGGACCTGAGGAGGCCAGAAAGGGGCTTTGGATCTCCAGGAGCTGGAGTTACAGATGGTTGTGAGCCATTACGTGGGTGCTGCTGAAACTAAACCAGGATCCTCTGCAAGTGCAGCCGATTGTGATGTTCTTGCCGCTCGCTTAGCCATCTCTCCAGCCCCAATTTGCCCCATTAAGGATCGGAATTCCGAAGTAGGCCTCTCTCTCATGGAGTCCCTTTCCCCTACAGTCTCATAGCCATTCAAGCTATGGGACCAGCCAAAAAAAAAAAAAAAAAAAAAA